ATTTAATTGAGGCCTATGACATCTCTTTATTATATAATTTTTTTTACATAACCTTTGTTGTTTAAATAGTTCCATTCACATCTACCCATAAGTCTAACCTTTGAGTGGTATGAATGCCATTAAGCCAACCGTGAAACGTTGCAAAGTGTATCCAGCACCCATTTCCTGTAGTTATATAACAGGTTAGTTACTCAGTGTGGAAATACTCACACCATTGCATACACTCTCATAAGTGTTTTGGCAGACACACACCACGGTTGCCATTTAAAAGCCCAGCCAAGAAGTGGTGAAGTCCAGTGGCCACAGAAGACCAGAGACAACATTACATCACCCAGCTAGAGCCTGTGCTAACCAACCAGTGATTTGTGGATCAACAGTGTGTTGTCATGGAGATGGCAAGCCGTTTTTGCCACGGGGTTACATATTTTAGAAAAACGAGAGAACGAAAGAGGAAAGGTTTCATGTAGGAGGTAGAGAGGAGCGGAGAGAGGAATGACTCACGATCAGGTGTATCGAAGACAGACAAGTGCACACGCAGTAAATTCAAGCTAATGGTCAAGGAGGATCGACAAACATTTGCATGTGTGCATGAATATGCATTCAGTGTACAGCAAAAGCACACAAGCATGAACACACACACATACACGGTCGACAAGAAAAGAAAAGCGATTCCAGCTCCGGTCTCCCTGGATACAGAGTGACAGACGTACGGAAAGCGTGGCTGACCCGTGCCCACTCGACAACATGCCAACAGCCCCTCTTCCCTTCCGTTTATTAATTCCGACATTCATCATTGACGCATTTCTCGTCTTTTTTCTTGTGTGAGAGAAGCTGAGCTCAGCAAAACACAAATTAAAAACACTCTTCTCATCTTCCGCACTTCCTGCTCTCCCATTGGCTACCAGTGATGTCATCCTGTCTCATATGCAATAGTCAATAACCTATTAGAGTCCAGCGTTTTACAGTCAGCTTGCGCAGAAGGGGCTTCTGCCGCTTGAGCTCTTCTACGCCCTTTGTTTTATTGGAGTCTTTTAGCGATCGTCTTGATTAACGCCCTAAAGTCCTAAAGATTTCTTAGGGGAGACGGTTCAGTGCCCCTGGGGAACACTTTGTACTGCGGGTGGTGTTATAATTGTTTTTCATTGCAAATGATGCTGTTTTTTCCTGTCTGTAAATGCGGGCGATTTTAAAGACTGCAGAGATGCAGTCATTTGTGCATATTAATTTTATGTGGTATGTTTGGGGTATATAATGCATCACATGCACATTCATCTTTAGCGTAACCATAACCGGCGTTCACTCTTGAAGACTTGAGCTGTATCAGCCATTCGTTTCGGTCATTTCAGCAGTCTCATTGGAAATGTCCTCACCTTTTTGCAAGACGGCCTATCTTGTTTTGTTTACGCTCACTCCACCTGCATAAACCATCCATGTCATCTGTTCTGTCCAGCTCTTTCTCCTCTTTTCTGCAGATACAGCCTTGGAAGTGATCACTAACAATGATGTCATCCCTCGATTGCTCTCTCTTCCTCGCTCACACACACACTTACTTGTGGCCAGACTCCTCTTGTTCAGCCTTTTTGGATTTTAAAGTTTCCTGACAGAGATGTTCTGATCGATTCCTCCGCCGAGTTAGGGGCCGTTTATGCGTTCTTGCATCCATCTGCACTGTTTTTAAATAGTTTTTATATATATATATATATATATATATATACATGCGCTCTGGGGCCGTTTATGCGTTCTTGCATCCATCTGCACTGTTTTTAAATAGTTTTTATATATATATATATATATATATATATATATAAACATGCGCTATGTGGGTGTTTTTGACCGTTGTGATGCATTTCATAGTTTTTATTTTAGTGTCTCCTCCTATGAGTGCTGCAATTTTAAGATGGCGTGTGAAGTTAAAAGAGGTTCAGTTTTTAAAACAGTCTATCAGGACATGCATTCTGTTTCATTGAAATGTATATAGCAATCCTGTGTGCATAGATAGATACTATAAATAGACAGACATATGGATAGATGATTAATAGATGAACTAATGGACAGTAGACAGGGATAGATACAATGGATGTATGATAGATAGATAGATAGATAGATAGATAGATAGACAGACCTGTGTTCAATTTACAAATTCAATACAATTTCATGAATTGAAACTGAGTCAAATCTTCATGTTTAAATTTTGAACTCTAACCAAAACCATCCTAACTATTAAGATCAATTAAGCTATTATTCATTATCAAATGATAGATAGATAGATAGATAGATAGATAGAAAGGTAGAAAGGTAGAAAGGTAGACATGGATTGAAAGATAGGCATATGGAATGATCCATATCATGCCCCATTTTAAGCCTAATATCCTCAATGGAAAGCATGTTACATAACTGGTGAAGCTCTCTTCCTCTGCAGTGTAATGCCACAGTTGTGTTATCTCTGCTTTTCCACTCTCTCTTATGTCTCCCCTCTTCTGAACAACACCTTTTCATTCGTCCATTTTCACTCATTTCCTCTCCTTAACTCTTTTCATGCCCTCCTCGAAGACTTGATTGGATGGAGACACATAATGCCAAACCAGTGTAAATTAAATTGAGTTCACAGCAGCTTAAACTGAATAACAACATACAAGTCTGCATCTGTTATGCACCGCTTTCTTCTTCTTTTTCTTTTTCTTGTTCTTTCTTGCCTTCTTTTTTATTGCTGTCTTGTTTGCTTTCTTGCTCTTCTGTTTGCTTATTTGTCTCTTTCTATTTGTCCAATTTTAATAATTTTAGACTCATGTCGTCTATTATCTGTGGCCACACATTTTCTCATCAGCAGCCCAGGAAGAGTAATTTTATATAATTAAGATTGATTCTTTTGCAGAGTTGCCATCTTTTCACTTTATTAGATTAGAGTTGTTTAATGACCTGCAGCTTTAATCAGTGGGAAGTTTAGTCTGTTGGGTTTATAATGAGGCCTACTTGGTGCTGTAATTCTGTAGGTCTGTGTCTGTTGATTGTTTTGAGTCTCTGCATGTCCCTCTTCTCTGTGTGCTGGCTCTTCTTGTCCTTGCTTTCATCGCCTAAGATGTTTACATGACAATCTCCCCCGCATTTTTTACACTCATCACCTTCTCTCTACTCTTGCACATGCATGCTCGCACGTACACAAAGGCACGCTCACCACGCTCCTGTCCCATCCCAGAGGGTAAAAAGTGGCGTGCCACAGGCCTCATGAACTGTACTGTTGCACATTGCTGGTATCAGCGTTTGTGAGCGTATAT